ATTTGAGGAGTTTTGTTTTGATTTTATAATTAATTTTTTTCACTTATAATGGCATAAAATCTACACATTGATATTTTAAGTTGGATCCAGAAATATGCAGCTTTACAACGGTTGTATTAACTCGTGAGATGCGATCTGGTGTGATGTAGGTTTCAGAAAAACATTTTCTTTATCGTGCGAACGTTTCGATCTTTATTGAAATCATCTTCAGGGCCTGGGATTTACAAACATTCTTTAAATTTAACAAATGCATGTAGGATGTGAAAAAAAGTGAATTTATACAATGCAAAAAATATATTTTTTATATTCAATCAAAGTATTTCTATTCACTCAAAGTGTTTGTTTTCTGCGTACATCCTACATGTATTTGTTAAATTTAAGCAATGTTTGTAAATCCCAGGCCTTGAAGAAGATCTCAATAAAGATCGAAAAGTTAGCACGATAAAGACAATGTTTTTCTGAAACCTACATCACACCAGACCGCATCTCACGATTTCTGTGAATAATCATCGACTAACGGTCACTAATCAGTAATCACCACACACACGGTTGTATTAACGTTGAATTTGGATGAAATCCAAAGGGGTTATGGATTTTTAAGTTGAATACTGGATATCGGAAAAGTAAAATTGCCCCTAACAGATCCAGACCAAAAAAGTCTATTTTTTGTTTATTATAAACATACTTTGTTTCAATAGCTCTTGAAGTTTAATTATAACCAAAAATAGGTAATTGCTAAAATTTAGTAGCAACACTATAACAAAACATTTTCTAACGACTTAGAGTTTTTAACCTCCAGGACCATTCAATACCTAAAACATTTAAAAAACGCAGTATCAGTTATAATTCATTATATTTATATTATATAATAGTAATAATTTTTTCTTTATTTAAAATTATTTCAGTCAAATAAATTTGAATTTATTTCACATTGACTTTGAGGTACTTTTTAAAATATAAAACGTATACACTGTAAGTTGTCAACACTCTACAGTTGTGCAATAAACACTTATACGATATTGACTTTTTTGTTTTATGTAACTACTTGACTTCTTTAACCGCTAATCTGTGACATTCCGGGTCCGATGAACCTGAAGTGCTACGGTCATAAATAAACCAAGTAGCTCTCAAGTAACATTCATCCAATTTCACCCACAAAGTACTATCGTTGGACCGATTTAGGCATTAAATCATTAAAACAATATTATTTATTATTTGAACATCCAAATTGAAACTTCTAACTTAAATTTTTGGTTTACGTACATTGCACAACTACAAATCCTTGTTGATATAATGCTGATAAATAGCGTGGAAGTTTTAGACTTATGAAAGTGATACCAGCAAGTTTCCGAATAAATTCAACAATCAATCCTTCGATAAGATATAAGTTGAAATATTAGCCATCTCCTTTTCATTTCGTTGATATAAATATTATAAATATAAATGATTAATTATTACATAACTTATAAATTACTTTCATATATATATATATATATATGTTGCAACTTCTACTCTTATGTTCTTATGTGAAAATAGATCAACTTCATTAGAAATATAGAAATTACTCGTCATTTTAATTTTCTTATTTCGCTATGCAACCTCTAGAAAACATTTTACAAAATCAACATTTTCTAGTATAAGAAAACATTTTAAACGACTATCAGGCGAGAACAGGAAATCGATGATTTTTGTACTATTTTGATAAAACAACCACAATAAAAACAATAAAATCTATACTAATCATTAAATTTATTGAACTGATATTTCTGAGCTTTGATATTAAATAGTGTTTGGGTGATAAAACAGTGTAAAATAAGAATGTGAGTATCTAAGTTCTATGTTTTTTATTTATAAAATAAACAATTTATTTGTAGCCTGTACATATTACAAATATGTGCGTTTATGTTTTTTTGAATATGGCCAGCATTGCAGCCGGAGGACACAGGCTGAAAGAAAATACGATGGATTACGAAGGGAGGGCTCAGGATGGAAAAATGTAGATAGGGCTTGGAGTAGGGTTAGGATAGATCGAAAGATTTGCATGGGACTTTTGGATCGGATCAGTTCCTTGATAAAAGGAGTGTTGATGTCGTCGTAGGAAGGTTAGTGACATAGTAAATTTTGGCAATATGTCTGAGGACCTCTGACTGGAAGGACTGGTCTGCGCTGGATATTGAATGGCTTGGTGGAACCTCACAATCCCTCTCCGTAAGTTCAAAATGATTGCAGTAACCAATAGTGTTGAGTTTCGACTGTCAAAAACGATTTTGGCATTAAAATTCTTCGTAGTGGTCCGAGTGTTCTGTTAAGTTATCACTTAGGTCTTGTGATGGGGTTCCACGTCAGATTGATCACTAGATATCAGTATCTAACTTGAGTTAGATTAGTTAGTCTTGTCCTCAAGTTATGGCTCCAGTCTTTGAAAACTATGGGTGTTCTGCATGTTGGAGGTTGATTGACAGGTTTAGCAGACAGAATTGCGATGTCATCCGCATAGGCGGTAATGATGCATAGGAACGTCAGGATTGTAAATGTTGTACAGGATGGGACCAAGCATGCTCCTTTGTTAGACGCCGCACGATGGGGTAAAAGTAGAAAAACCTTACTATATCTAAAAAATATCTAAAAATTTGAGTATAAACATCTCTTAATATTTTTTATACTTATTCTGGTTTAATAGAGTTTTGAATGTAGCCCTAGATCCATATTCTTTTCTTAGGTGGCAACAAATTTCAATTTTCATTCCAAATAAAATTAATTAATTCCATTTTCCGAAAAGAACCACCAAATGCGATTTCAGTTGATAAATTCAATCGAAAAAAAACGATTAAAAGCTTATTATTTGTTATAATCTTGCTAGCTCCTTGTAAACATTGTTGGGTTAAAATAGTCCGTTAATATCAATATCATAACGTATTTTTTGAAAGGTACTGAATCTTGCTAGAAATAATGAAGTATAGCTTGCTGATTGAGTACCGTACCAAAGTTTACAAAATGACTTGCGTTATTTCGTTTCTTCATTCACTTTTAGCTAATTAACGTTTGGTTAAAAAGTTTTGAAAAGTGTCCATTTCGTCGTGATTATTAATCATTTTACAGCAGTACAGTTATTAAAGTTTTTAGTAATTTCACTCTTATGTTTTTCACTTGTTAGCATAATCTGAAATCAGAATTATACAGCTTTCGTACAGTTGTAATGATGTTGAATTTGGATAAAATCCATAGATTTTTAGGAAAATCAAGAATATTTTCCCCTAAAGTTTTCGCCTCCAAAATGATTTCGATTTTTTTTCTCACAAATCACAAAAATAATGTTAATTTTGAAACAACTCCACCTATCTACAGGAAAATTTACTGAAGTTTACAACCTTATAAACTACAAGTAAAAGTACAATTCAGGAATTCTTAAAAAAATTGGATATGGAGATAAAAATAAAAAGTTTTGTTCATTTAATCTAATTTTCTTTTTATTTTAATCTAAATTTTTACAAAGATTCGCAACAGAAGAAGTCATAATAACCCTCGGGGTGCCGGTGTTTAAAAAAAAATTGTAAGTATGTCGGGTTTGAATGCAGGGCCACTGGTTTCGAACCAGGGACCTTTACCTTACTGTGATTAGCGCAGTGTCAACGCCTAAAAAGTAGCCTTTAAATCTTTCTCTTTCTCACTTATAATGATATAAAATCTAAGCGAACTTTTTCATAATACATATAAAACCTATATGTTAAAATAGGCCGGATGAAGAAACATTTATCTTTGTAATAACGTTAGATTTGGATAAAATCCAGAGATATTGGGGAAAATCATAAAATAATTCCCCCAAATTTTTCTCCATCCAAATGAGTACAATTGTTTTAGAAAATCATGAAAATTATGATAATTTTGAAACCACTTCAACTATCTAAAGTACTAGATTATATGAGTATATGATACAAAGGAACATTTACTAAAATCCTATAAACTACATGTAAAAGCACAAACCTGGACTTGTTAATATATTAGAACCGGAGAAAAAAAAGTTTGAAGAGTTTTGTTGATTTCAACCTTATTTTTCTCACTTATAATGGCATTAAATCTAAACATTATTGATATAAGATACAACAAGAAATATATAGCTTTACAACCGATTTAATAATTTCAATTAATTATCCTTTTTGTCTAAGGTCTTGGTTGAGTTGAAAAAGTTAGTGTCACGAGCGGAACTCGAACCTACGACCTTTGGCTCAATACGCCGCTGTTCTAACCACTCGTTACACTAACTTTTTCAACTCAATCAAGACCTTAGCAGTATATACCAGACATCAGAGAAAAAATTGCCCTCGTTTAATCTATCTCAAAAATATTTATTTTAATTTGTAATTAAATTAATTATAATATATATAATTATAAATATTATTTATTTAATAATTTATTTATTTATTTTTGTTTTTATTCGTATTTAAGGGTTTTAAAAGTAATTGGAACCGATTCGAATTTTTTTCTAGTCTCCTAGGGTCCATTGGCAAGAAGGCTTGTACACGTGTCTAATATTTTTCGACCGAGCATCACCAAAAAAAAAGGTTCATTAAAATCGGTGATCTCACGACAGTCAGTTATATAACAAATGCCATGGTTATAAATCTTTCTTATTTAATTTTATTAGGTAGCAAGCACCACTTAATTCATATCTCAGTTTTGATAACGATAACAATCGGAACAATCTCCGTTAATGTAAACAGCAGGTAAAGTTGCACTAAGCGATATAGAAACAATCGACGTGGTTTATTATTATCACTTACCGAATCTTTTTTTTTAACTAAATCGTTTTTGGAAAATAAATTATATCACGCTTTTTCCTAATGCTTCTCCATGGTATCGTTATCTAAAACAACACTTGAGTATTTTAATCAAATAGTTTTGCCCAGAGACATCTGACATCGTGTCTTAGAAGCGAAACAGTAAGAAAGAGGGTGAGGGTTAGAGAGTATGTGAAAGAGTGGGAGATAGTAACAACTCAATTAAATCCAGTTTTATTGCGATATAAACTACACCCTGAGCAACAAGAAAAAATATCACAGCTATTTATTTCACTTGAAGACAAGAATAATTAGATTAACGCGTCAGATGCCGATAACACTAATCTACGGCTAGCGTTGTTTTAGTGCTCTTGAGATTACAGATTTTGTATTTTTCTAAAGATGAAATTAGGGGACGAAATCTTCACACTCCTTTGTAAGTAGGAACAAAACTTTGTATACTCCTTGTTCAAACTGGTGAATTAACTTGAAAATTTATTATACTATTGTGTATTCTATTTTTGTACAGTTTTGATAAGGCTTTTTGTGCCGAAACATAAAAAAGTCAAAATAAGTTAAGTCTATGATGTCAAAGAGTAGTATTTTACGTGCCTTCGGGTAGATTCTCCGTACAAACAAAGTTGAAAAATTACATAAATAATAACATATCATAATAAATGTAAAATGTTACATCATTTAAAAAAAGCTTAAATTGTCACATTATACAATTTGAAGTTGCAAAAAAAAAGACCATAATAAAGAAAATTGCATATTTAGATATAATAAAAGCAAGATGGGAATGGACTGACAATAAGAGATAAGCAAGGCAAAATAATTATCCGTAAATTTAGGTTTGGTCAATGTGATAGTATATTATCGAAATACTTAAGTATTATTCATTCTTAACACTATTGTTATTCGTTTATTAAAAAACGACCTTTTTTAGACAGTGAATTAAACAAAAGACCAAGTTTTTAATATTTTGTGTATTGTCTGTAGTAAAAAGTGTACTCATCAATGGTAGGAGTGTCGTTTATCAAAGGCAGATAGGTATTTCTTATACATCTGTAGCCGAAGCATTGGACAATAATATTATATAGTTCTTCAGGCAATTTAAGATACATATTTCGTTGCTCTGTATTATGAATATTATGTTTTTATGACTAATTTTGATTATTTAATTGTTGTTATTGTAATAGTTCTTTCGGTCAGATTCAGACTTCAGTACATGCCAAATTGGACTAAAAAGTCCCTTTTATTCAGTCTGATTCTCAATTGCATTCGAGATATTTCACTTTTCAGGTTTTTTCAACCTTTCACTACTTTCTTCCATAAAGCCCCAGTATCTCATAAAATATTAATCCTACTGTAAATTTGATTCCATCAATGTAAAGAACATTATAAACCTTGTGACATTCACTGTTTATTTATTGTAACGTTAAGCAAACACAATAGAAAATGACCAAGAAGTTAAACTTTTACGAATTTCCAAAGGTCCTGTTTAAACTTGAAGTAAGATTTTCCTGGTTCTTTAAACGCAGGCAGATATAGCGCCTGTAAAATTGTAAACACGCGTACGTAATTTTTCAAAGGTTAGTTATCACAAATTGAAAATTAACGTTTAATTGATAAAAAAATTATTTTTCGGTTAGAAACGGTAAAAAGCAATAATCATTAAGAATTTGTAAGTTATTATTAAAATAATACAAAGTAAACAAAAAAGGTTCTGGTGAAAAATTGAACATAAGAAAAAACAAAAAGCGTCAAAAATTTAATTAGATGTTCAAATATCCACGTTGAATAATGTAAGCCTGACGTCCTGACAGATTTTACCCCCCTCAAGCTTTTTGTTTATTCTTAAGTTTAATTTTACTTTATTGTTTACTCTGTCGTCTAAATATTTCAAATTTGGAAAAGTTTCTCTACACAAAAAAGTTTATAATGCAAATATGAAGCGTTAATGATATAAGTTGAAAAGAAGAAAAATATTGTTTGCGAGTCGAAAATTTAGGGCGAAACGTTGTTTCCCAAATTCCAAATCTTGGATTTGGCATGAATCTTATGTACGTAAACTTACTATAAATTTAGTTTTTATAAATTAATTTGAACTTCTTAAGGCATTATGATCCCGTTCACATGTATCGGCCTTTATATGTAATTTCTATCATCATTTACTTCTTTTATTATAATCAAAATACAATTTTAATTTTACAACGTCGATAATACTATACAGAGTGTCCCTTGAACAGACGTCAATACTTCAGGAGGATATTCAACATAATCAAATTGGGCTAAAAATTCTCTTTTGTCCAAACTCTAATTTTCAATTTGTAACTTACAGAAAAACCTGATTACACCAATGGAAAGAACATTGAAAAACCTCTGGGAGTCATCAGCTTTTCGAATGTAAACTTGAAAAAGACAAAATAGGAAAAATGCAACAATTAAGTTAAATTTCAAAATGAAGAATAAAAGCCTGACATTGTTTATTTTTAGAAGCTTTTGTTCTTATTGGTCAATTGTGTACCAAATATCTTTTTTGTTTACTTTATACTAGTTTCTTTATTTTTAACAGAAGTTTCAAAATCAATCGGTGAAATGGCTCATTTTTTCTTTGATACCGAAAAATAATTGTTTTAGTAATTAAACGTTAATTTTATACCGTTGATAACTGACCTTTGAGAAATTAAGCACATGTTTAATGTTTATTAGTGGGGGCTACGTTTCTTTAAGCGATAAATCTGTCAATATTTACAGAACCAAGAAAATCTCATTTTAACTTTAGACAAAAAAATTTGAAAAATTGTAATAGTTTATATTCTAAATGATTTTGTGCTTCGTTTGCTTAAGGTTAAAGTAAAAGAAAAGGTAATGAATATTATAATATTTTCAATGATTTTTCCAATTGTGTAAGCAAGTTTATAGTAGGATCCTCCTATATATGAGAGAGGAGAGACTTTATGAAATAAAGTAATCTGAAGAGAGAAAAATTTCGAATAGAACTGAGAATCCGACTCAGAACAATAGGGACTTTTAGTTAAATTTTATGTCCTTAAATCATTTTTTTAAATATTGCAGGGATTTTCTTTGTAAATTTAGTTACATTCATTTCTAACTTTCTTCTAATTAAATTTTCATTTATTTTTCCAAGCATTCCATAAAGTTGGGAATGCAAGTAAAATTTAGTTAGCTTATTTATGTGATGATTTCATTTTAGTTTAAGATATCGTTTTTTGTCTTTTATCTTTCACGTTTAATATTATTTTAAATCCAATTTACAGTAAATTTATGGGAAGAGTGAAGTACATTTGGCATATTTTCTACTAATTCTACTAAACTACTATATTCTACTCAAAATATAAATAAGTATAGGATGACTTCTATAAACGGTTATTTTTATAGTTAATAATTTAATAATTTATATGCATGTCAACATTTCTTTCTTATAGGTCTTGCAAGTGTGAAAAACATTTCGTTTTCTATTAAGTACTATTACTTGACGTGTAATCGCCAAATACAAATTTCTCGCTCGGCCTGTGTTGTGGTGTAATGATTTTGCGCATGCAGAACCAATTAATCCTGCTAGATTTACAGTAGAAATAAGGAGATGGCCTTTATAATGTCATAATCGCACGTAGAGCCGCTTTTGCCAAACCAGCACTTAGCGCTAATAACGTCTTGGGAATTACATAGAATATCGTGTTTAGAAATGATTCGCCACCGTGTAAACCGTTCGAGACCAATTTCGGAAATCTAATTATGCAGTAGGGAAATAGCTCGTTTTGGAAAACGTTTCTAAATCCGTTTCCACCCGTGAAACGCGGAAAAGCGGAACGCAAGTGACGAATATTCACTCAATTTGACCAAATTTCGTACTTTACAAGATATAAACTTATATTTCAAGACTTTTTCATATCAGAATGCTGTTTTTATGTAATTTACTCACCGCGAATTCTCACCAATGCAGAGAACAGTACAACTACTCTTCGAAACTAAAAAAAAAAAAAAAGATCGACCGGAACAATAAAAACACCAACAATAAGTTCACTAGTTTTCGTGGTCCGCTTGACCAATTCATACTTTCAATTAATCAAGGTTTTTAGTTGAGATAAAAAGTCAGCGTCACCAGCGGGATTCGAACCCACGATCTTTGGCTAGATACGCCGCTGCTCTACCACTTGAGCTATCGTGACCTCGATCCACTCGGAAAAATGGCAAAAAAAGGAGGGAAAATTCAAAAGGTGGAGTTGAGATGGGAAGTTTGTGTCCGAGTGGATCGAGGTCACGATAGCTCAAGTGGTATAGCAACGGTGTAGCCGAAGATCGTGGGTTCGAATCCCGCTCGTGACGCTGACTTTATCTCAACTAAAAACCATAATTAATTGAAAGACACTAACAATAAGGTTCAATCACCAAAGGAACTTTCAAAAAACGACGACACACACCACTCATCACCTTATAAAATTGACTTGACTTCACAAAAATAGCACAGACCCTACACTCTAATTCGTCTTACAGACCAAACCAACGAGGATAGGCAGAACAGGATGATCGGTTACGACAGGATCATCACCCTACAGACCACAGAGAAATCTAACGCTCTGAGAAAACCAGGAAGGGATACAAGTAAGTTAACTCCATTTATATGCATATTTCCTTTTTAATATTATGGAAAGATTCTATAGAATTGTTATTGTGAATTCAATCATTTTTAAAAGTATTAAATGTCATCGTGTTCGAGGAGATGATTTAATTACATGCACCTCCATGACATATCAATATATCAAATATTTCTAATAAACTGTAAATGACTAATTTGACTAACGTACACGTAATGTCAGATACCCGTAATTTATAAATAAATCAGAACCGAAGATATAAAATAAAACATTTGAGTTTTTCAAATTTTTTGCCTTTCATGCTTCCGATTTTTTTCTTGAAAATCACAAAACTGAGAACTTTATAACTCACCGGTCTACGGAAAATTTTATTGAAGTATGGAACCCTATAAACTACACGTAAATGCACTAACCTGGAACACCTGTCATAAAAAAATGCCCTCGGTTGATCCAGCCCAAAATTATATAACAATTTGTATTCAAGAGATTTAAAGGGTACTTAAAAGGAATCAGATTTCTTTATTCAAATACAAATTTGTTCGCCTACTTTTCTGAAAGCGTCATTTATATATCGCATCTAATCTCGTCGTATTAAGATCCTGCTTTTTTTGGATTTTCTTACGTACAAAAAAAAATCAATTGATAATTATAACCTTACAATACAGGCTTTACAATAAAACATTTGATCATGTTCATTTCATTCTTTTTTCTCTCACTTATAATAACATAAAGGCCATAAGTTATTGGTATAAGTCAAAAAGGAAATATTCAGCTCTCTAAAAGCTGTGATAACTTTGAATTTGAATGAAATCAAAAGGGGTTATGAATTTTTCATTGGAAAACGGAAATCGGCGAGAAAAAAAATGCCCCCGTCTCATCCAGCCCAACAATGCCTGTTTTTTAATTGCTACAAAAATTACGATTTAAGGGTGATTTTTTTAAAGGAAGAAAGTAACGTCGATTTTCTTTTTCTACACCCTATAAATACAATTTTCCTCGGAATTTTTCCTTTTTAAATGCTTTCGATTTGTTTTCGAAAATCACAAAAAAGGGGCAATTGAAAAAACGCCTCCGGCAATCCGCAGGGAACTTCTGCCTAGCCTCTCAATTAAGCTTGCATACATATTTATTACCTCTTAAGTATTATATTAATAATGTATCAGGTACCCATTCTTTAAAATGGGGACTGACTGACTATAAAAACACGGAAATTTTTTTCCCAACATCGTTTAAAGTCTCAACAGAGTACAAAGGAGAAGAAACCCAGGAGAAAATTAGATACAATTGGATCAGGCGTTTTCATAAAATGCCCTAAACATGAGCAATCAAAGGGAAGTTTACCTCGGTTCCCATATCATATTCGAATGCAAAATAACCACTCAGTGGGGACATAACCTGGGATACAAAGAATACCCAGGGAAAGGTATTGTAGCATCGCAGTCAATGACCTAGTATTACTTAGGAGAAAGATCGAGTCGATTGCACTGAACTGAGGAACTATGAAAGTACAATAAGCCAAAAGGCTGCTGTGCTTGCGTAACAAAAAACCGCCACTTTCCAGTATCAATATTAATTATCGTCATTATCATCATCGCTTAAATTTTACAAAGTTTTGTTTCTGACCATGTTAGTGAAGTTTTTCATCGGATATGTACCTCCTACTGATACATGTTTACAACTATCTATTTGAATGTAATATTGTCGCTTTTTAATAAAATCAAACTTAATTTAATAAAGTTTTTTTTTTTGTAAAGTGGGACGTTTACGTTTTAATTTAATTATATGACACAAGGCTAATGAGTAGCGACACAATAAAAAATTAGCCCATATTTTAATTTTCAATCGAATATAAATGCATATAAATTTTTTACATCAATTATGAGTTTCTACCATTGTTTCCGATCCTGACTCATAAAAAACAGATAGTACAGTAAGAGTGGAGCGCATGTAAACAATATACTGGAACCCTTTGTTGGTCTAATACGAAAACTGAAAACATCAGCAATTGATTAAAGAATGTTCAGTTTTGTCAAGAACGTTGCAAGAGTGACAGTAATTAAAATGAGAACTTCCTTATGTCGTACGTACCAGTTGTTTGATTAATTGTTATTCTTGTATGTTTCTATGAATTATAGCCGGATGCGCTTAGTTTTTATTTATTTATTTATTTTTTTAAAAGGATTTGTATTTTAATTAGTCATACGTGATAAAATAGACTTTTTTGTTCTGAAGATCGCGTTAGAAATATGGTTTTCCCACCTAGCATATGAGAAACTAGCTCAATGAACTAGCGTGCACAGAAATTTAAAGACGAATTTTAAGAATCAGCGCATGCAGCAATTAGGGAGCTGAGAGCAAGAATACGAATGAAAGTTATTTAATGATTGTGTCAAATAATTGTCTAAAGCGTTTCTTTTGGATTTCTGAGTTCATTGTTATACTTTTAAAAATCGACATCTGCTAAATCATTCCCCCCACCTGAAACCGCACTTTTTCACACTTATAAACCCAACGGTTTAATCACTCGCGAAGGCGAAAGTGTAGTGCATTGAAAGAAATTCTTAGTCGATCGGACTTAGGCCATTTTTTTTTCTCTCGAATTAAGTATACAATAAACAATTATAATAAAACACAAACTAATCGGTTTGGTCTTCAGAGCTGATTTTACACAAGTGGCAATGGCAGAAATAAAATAGAATGTAAACAAGTAAGTACACATGTACATTTTTCCAAACTCTTATACAAAAGAACATCTCATAATTACATTTAACTTTCACTTTTATCAGGAAATGTAAAAAAAAAAACTTAAGCATTTTTATTATATCCAATAACATATAGGAAAGCACTTTGGACAATTTTTTTTTTAAACAACTGCAATAAATGTTTTCCGTGAGTTTTTGTTTTTATAAACGTTTTTTAAAAGTCTTAAAAAATCCGGTAAACAGACGGGCATTAAATACTTGTAAATGTTTTTTGTGCCATTTTTTAATCTATCGATTCTTTGTATTCTTCTCCAATTTGGAAGAAAATTTTGAAATTAAAGTTCTGCTTCTGCTTATAAACTGTACTTAAAATAAACTGAGCTTTTTTTCAATTTAATTTTAACGTGTTGCTTTCGATTAATATTACACATAGTTTTATCCTAATTTCTAGATAAAATCGACTTTATTCTTCTCAAAATCTCAACTATCGCGTTGTTATTTGAACAAAGAAATTTGATCGAAGATTTATTTTGTAAAGTTAATAAATAGTAGAATTTATATTTGAATAAAAAACGTTGTTTGTTAATCCGAGGAAAAACAACAAAGGATCAAATGCGATATATAAATGACAAAGAGAGGATGAGTCATTTGACAATATCTCATCGGTACTTTCCAAATGACACATCATGAGTACGAGTTTTCAATATGACGTATATTTTTAAATTGTTTAAATAAATGCTATTACTTACAAGAAATGTCTACGGATTAAAGTTATTGGATTTTAACGAAACTTGTTTTGGTGATCCTAGGTGGAAAAATATAAGTCTCGTGTCCGGGCGTTCTTGCTAGTTGGTTCTAGGTGTCAAGAATATTTTTTAAGTACTTTGAATAATTTTTTAAAATATGGGATTCTGTTTTGTTGATATAACCTTGTATCTACTTTTCCTCCCGCGTTTCATGTTCTTTGCAGTCTGTTGAGACTTTATAGGATGTAAAAAGCGTTTTCGGGTTCAGGTAGTCAATCAGTCCCCATTTTTAAGAATGGATGCCTGATTTTAATAATATATCATTAATATAATACTTAAAATAAAAATGTATGTAAGATTAATGGAAAGGCTAGGCAGATGTGCCCTGGGATTGCCGGAGGTCCTTTTTTTGTGATTTTCGAAAACAAATGGAAAGCAGTTAAAAAAACAAAAATTTCGAGTAAAACATTTTTAAAAAAAGTCAAGGGGTTTTATGGGATGTAGAAAACGAATATCGACTTTATTTCTTCCTAAAAAATATATATTTTAACCTAATATGCAAACAACCAAGAAATGATAGGTCCCATTAAAAAAATATTTCACGTAATCTGAATATTTTGTTAAATTATTATTAATATTATTAAGTTATTAATATTATTATTAATATTTTGTTTGTTTGTCCATTCTTTTTTCTTCTTACAAATAAATTAAAAAAATAAGTATAAGCAGGATAGTATTCAAGGAGAGTAGATCTATAAAATACAAAAACCTAAAGAAGCTTCCAGTAAAGTAGACCAAAAACAATTGTTGTTCGTATTAAGCACCCTTTCAAGCCCTTAAATAAGAATTTTGATAACAAAGAAATTTTTGAGATCGATGAGCCAAAGTTATTTTTTTCTCTCGCCTACTGCCTGTATCCCATTTAAAAATTCGTATCCTCTATCTACTTTATTAAAATTCGAAGTTATTACAAATTTTGGAAAGCTGAATGATTCTACTTTGAGCCTACACAAATAAGTTATGGTTATGCTATTATAAGAGAGAAAAATAAGAATGAAATCAACAAAAACTGATCACACGCTTTATTTTATTTTTCCGGTTATAATTTATTTTCGTAAGTGACGTTTGTGCCATTAGGTGAAGTTTGTACGAATTTAAATCGTTGTTAAATTTCCTGAGGATCGGTTGAAGCCCTTTTAAATTTATCACTTTTTGATTTTCGAAAATGAAAGGCATTAGAAAAGCGAACATTTTAAAGAAATCAGATTTCGATTTTACCAACAATTTGTATCCAGAGGTATTTACGGATGCAAAAATCGAACTTTCCTTCAAGTTACAAAACAATACGTATTTTAACCTGCTATGGAAAATGAATCAATCTTCGGGTATTTAAATTTGTATGCAGTAAAGTACATAGATGAAATATATACATACTTATTTTGTGACCGAAAGACGTAGCACAGTAGTTTTCATTTTTTCTAGCAAAAACGAATTTCAGCTTTTCGACTAAAAAAAAACACTAATACAGATTTTTCAGATAATCCCAAAAATTTTTTTTC